GTTAAATCGGTCACCCAAACTGTATTCCAACTTGGACGATTTCAATGTAATTTTATGAGCAAAAAATCGTAACATTTTATTGAATTGGATGAAATGAACAATAGATCGAGACGAATAGTGGCAAACCTAATGCGGAAGGACCATGAAATATTGATTTATGGTGCAGTACACTGTGTACATAACATTAAAATGTCATTTGGTAACCTGCTTTTTGATATCCCTGCGCCAGCAAGAAATTTTGGTCGACTCGTTGGAAAAAAAATTAAGAAGATTGTTGATAAAAAGCATGCTCTGGTCTTCAATGAAATCTGCTTAAAGGAACAAATTCTACCAACCTATACTAATAACGCAAAGTATATACTTTGTAAAATGTAAATAAATCTGCACATATTTGGTATATATATATATCTATACATACTCAAAATAAACATTTAATCCACAGGAGGAATTAAGATTTTATTGAATCACGCCTTGAAAAAGATTCTAAGGTAAATGTATTAAGAGTTAGATATCATTGATCAAATTCTAGTAATATGTTGTAAGGTTTACGTTGATAAACATAATAAAATATTTGAATTTTTTTTTTAATTCGAAAAGTAAGCAACATTTTTTTTCATTCCTATCAAGATCATGGTAACTTCCATCACAAGTACCAGGAAACGATTAAAAACGACTAGACATTCCAGTGGAAAACATTGGACATTCAGTCGAGAGCAGCCAAATGTTGGTTGAAGCGATGGTTTGTGTTCAAATGGATATGAAACGAACTTAGGGCAAGGAGCTTTGATACGAATTTTTGCCGTTCCAAGGTGGGTCAGAATTACTCACACAATGCAAAAAGTGCATCACTATTGGGCAAATGCTCACTCATATTTTCTAAGTGTACTTGCCGCTGAGTTCCAGCTTGATAATAAGTAAAGCGCGAGTCATCGATGGCCACTAATAATGCCACCAAAATCTTATGGGAGAGTCATCGATGGCCACTAATAAAGCCACCAAAATATCATGGGCGAGTCATCGGTGGCCAGCCAATCTTGGTCAGCGATTGGCCACCGATAATGCCACCAATATCTTACCTGTATTATGCAAAAGCGCCATGAATGCACTTCTCTCGTGAAGGCAAAGCATCGCGGCAATCATCGAGAAAAAGTTCCCTAATTTTTTCGTGAAGGAATGAAAGCCTGCGAGATGAAAGGATATAAGCACACGCTCTTCGTTATGCAGATGAGCGTTTCTTTTTCTCAAATTGAGAAGGGCGAAAGGAAGTTAATCTCACTAAGGAACTTTATTTCACTAAGGAATCTCACTAGAAGAAGAACTTACTTATAAAACATGGACCAGAAAGAACACAGGTATCAACATTGAAGTATGATAGTAATTAATTAGTTTCCGATAAATTGATTAATATGAGCGTAGTGAAAATATACTGGAGATTGATTAATATTTTTTATGGCATAAATGATACGATACAATAATAGCTGGTCATAAAATACTGAGGATTCAGATCAGCATTTATTTTATTTATTAACCTTCTTGGGATTAATAGGGATTCAGGATTATAAAATCTGATATACAACCTGAGTGCGGCCACCGATGATCTCTACTCTATTTTATTTATTACAAAACATTAATGAAAAATAATACCTCCAACTTGCGCGGTAATCAAAACTTCAATTGCCTTAACAAATGAAGGGAGTCCACCAGTTGAGGCTGACCAGAGGCAGCTGATTCCATTATTCAAACGAAAGTAACGAAATAAATTTACTTACAAACTAGAAAATAAATACGTAAAAATAATCAAAATAAACAGGGCCCAATTGGCGACACGGCCGCTTGCGTCTCATTCCAGATCCCCTGTAATGGCGCAAACTTTTAATTCGACTCCAGCGCAAGTTTTATTCGACTTTATCTCCTGGAAACACTGCCGCCTTAAGCACTTCACCAAAACTTGTCTTAACGCTTAACTTGTGATGGAATTAAGGAGCGCCTTTACTCACGAGCTCGTCATTGTTACCGATACTGGGAGTCTGATTAGATTTCGGCGTTTTCTCGTCGCACAAGAACAACAAATTAGAAGTGACATAAGGTAGATGTCCACTAATGTCAAGTGATGTTTTACATCAGGAACATAATAAAATGACTATTAAAGTTACTTCGTCACCACTAACATAAGTAACGATTGAACTGATATTGTTTAAAAAATATACAGATTTCATATAAGAAATTCAAGCAACAATGTGCGTCTATAAAGCATAATGTGCGTCAATAACTATGTAGTAATATGCGTCTATAAACCGCATTCGCGGTAAACCATTTTGATTGTCGTACATAGCCTATTGTGTTTGCACGATATAGAGCGAGCAGTACAGAAGCAGGAGCCCTCTAAAATATGTTCAAATCAAACAGAAGACGGTAGTTTGAAGGCAATAACATAACGACCAATAGAACTGAGCTTTAATGGGAAAGTGTAGATTGATTTGTGAGCAGGAGACAGCACAAATGAGCCATGGATGTTCCAGCGCCTGCTGCTGCTGTAACACCAGCGCCTGCTGCTGCTTCTGTAACGTCAGCGGCTGCTGCTGCTGTAACACCAGCGCCTGCTACTGCTGCTGCTGCTGCTGTAACGTCAGCGGCTGCTGCTGCTGTAACGCCAGCGGCTGCGGCTGTAACGCCAGCGCCTGCTGCTGCTGTAATGTCAGCGCCTGCTGCTGCTGTAACGTCCGCATCCAAAATGCTATAATCTTAAATAAAAGCAGCTTCTGCTTTTATTCCTACGTTAGTAGATAAAAGGATGTTACATAAGATGTAAGATGCAGGCATTGAATCATTGTACCTGCATCATATATTTTGAGTTATTCGACGGGAAATATGAGACTATAATAGAAAAAGATCAAAACGTTTCTATCGGTGAAAGTCTACTCGAATATTTTAGCGGCCTCATAGCAAATATCAGAAACAACATCAGTTCACAAATCATATTTTTCTATGAAACCTCCACCTGCGAGAAGAAATGCAAACCTCATTTAGATACAAGCAAGAACCGAAGTATCATCTTCAATTCTACCGCATGGGTAACGAAGCAAGAGTAAAAGTGGTTACGAGGGAACAATTCACGCGTACGTTCAAAGAGACAACAACCGTATTGACCAAAACCAAAACGACTGTAAGGCATTCAAAAAGTTCCCACGGAAATAACAAGGTTTGGGAGAGGAGATGCATCGGCGAGCGAAAGGGAATCATAAAAAACTAACTCGAAAAAAAAACTCCCATGAGCAGCAGACGAAGAAAAGCGGCGGGCATTGGAAGCATTTGTCATGACAAATGGAAGGAGCCGTCAATTAGAGCGCGGGAGTCTGTTCATTAGTGCTAGATAGCATTGTTGTGGGGTGAGCAGCTACGGGCTACTGCCATCAGCGACACGGCTATGGCTTCCGCAACATAAACTCCTTATTTTAGCCTTTATTTGTATGCCTCATGGATACACGCAGTGCTACTGTTGCGCACATGTACACTTGACTGTGCTACTGTTGCGCACATGTACACTTGACTCTGCTACTGTTGCGCACNCAGGCCAAGTATTTTATTATAGTTCGTTTAAATAAATATAAGTTTAACTAATAAACGAATTTTAGGTAAAATCCTAGAAATAAATGGAAGAATTTATGGTCGCTAGATGGCAGAACGATGTCAGGAAAAAAATGCCGGGGGAACATTCTATACAGAATGTTTTTTTCTGTATGGGGAAGACCGAGATATCAGACCAAACAAATTTCACCACAAACACGGCACTCTATTTAACCGTCATGGAATTTAGGCACCGTCAATAAGATGCTGCAGACGTGGAATCAAATCGTACGGTCCAGTGGCCGCTATTAGAAGATGCTGTGTTGGTGCATTAGACTAAGAGGATTACCAATGCTAATACGAATTTTCCTGAGAGCAGAGGATCGCTTTATAAATGATGCACTCGAGTACGTCATGCAAAACGAAGCGAGGTCCCCGAACTTCTTCACACTTGCTCGGTATTTCCCTTCACGAATTCCATTTCTCAAGAGTACTCAGCCCTTCACAATAACCTTCTAAGTCGTGCAAATTCTTAGAAATATGATTTAAATATGATTAAGGATGCATTTCACAACGGTTGGTCTCGTACTAATACGGTGCTTCAGCTTATTTTTGCCCACGAAACGTTTTGCCAACAATCAAATTCACTTCAATGCAATTCTCATTATGGACTTGGCAAAAAATGTGGGGAAGCAAGTTTGTTCAAAGTAAATGTTGGAGTTTTACTCTAAATATTCTATGGCATACACAAAGAGTTGTATTTTCTAAAAGAAAAATATAGGAAATTTTTTCCAGTTTACAAAACTTTGATTGTTGATTTAAAATTCATAGATTTAATAGACTTGGCGGAGGGCAAAGGATACAAATTAATCGCATCCTAATGTCCACATTTTTTAATCAGGTGCATTTTTCATTCAAGAAAAAAACTATCGAACCCGCAGTTAGAGTACAGGTTGATATCTGTCGAAAATGTTTTTGTCTATGCAGCGTCACACCTCCAAACGCAGTGGTAAAGAGTTTCTAATACGACATTGACATACAATTCAGCTAGCAATATGTAAAAGGCTATAGGAGTGTGTTCGACTTGCAGCGCATTAATAGAACTAATTATATATAATTCAGCTGTGCCGAAAGGATGCAAGACATTTTACATGAGCCTAAAATGTGGCAGAATAAATTGCAAATAACGATCACGGATACGAATTTTGTAGGTAAAAAACAATGCTTGCTCTAAGCGGCAGGACTTGCTTTTGAACTACACTATTTTCACCTACAATTCACTTAGCACTCAATCAACGATGACATTCCAACCTCGAATTTAAATTCCAATGATTATTTCTTGACCTGCAACTTTGAGTGAAATAACTCACCTTGACAAAACATCTTATCCATTTACCATAAATAAATTCCCTTGCAAAATATTCGCCAGTACTTACCTCTAACGATGGCAATAGCCCACCGCCTCTTCTTCCACACGGTCAGAGTGTGCGGTAAAATCTTCACGACCCACTGGAGCTCCGGAGAGGGCACTGCAATCCGGTGCTGCGGGTGACATGGGTGAGAAAGTGGGAGCTTTTCCGGGTTTATCACTTCCGGAATATCGGGCGGCAGGTCGTTGGGTGACGAATGAGTGGCGTCATTCCCAGACGTGTGCAGTACGGAAGGGGAGTACGCGGGGAGAGGTAGGACGTGGTCGGGTGCGGGTGATGACGATAGCGTTAGTCTGTCAGTGTCATGGGAGGAATTAGGTTGGTCGTCAACATGGGACTTAGTGATTGTCTGCTTGGATACTGCGTCGTCGAGTTCAAGTCGTTTGCGTTTGTGAACTTGACACTTGGGGACGCGGCCCGTGCGAGGTCTGCCTCTTTCACCAGCTTCCATGCCTGCGACAATGAAGAGACATTGAAATTTAATAATTGAGCTCAATACAAAGTTCAAGCATCATTGGATTATTAAATTATAAAAAAACAAGCATAAGCTATTTGTTGGAATAAAGGCTTTTCAAAAATCAAATTCAAGGCTGCTATGCGGTTCAAACCAATCGTATTTCTGAACAGATAGCACATCATGTTTTCTCGAGTAAGAGACAAAAACCCGTGAATTTTCCTCTCTGAAAAATTTTAAAAGCTGCACCTCTTTTGAAGTTCCTCGCTTAGAAAAGCAGAGAAATAAAAGCCTAAACAGTCGTAATAAGGAAAACTCAGATAACAAACTTTGCAAAAAGAATAAAAATTAAAAAAAAAAAGACTTGACGTACATGATCGCACCTGAGAAACCTCGGGAAGTGCGAGTCTTCCTGACCGATTTACTTAATTAAACAAAAATGTTTTTAAAAACTTCACAGTTTACACGTGGAATGAAATACCTATATCTTTTCCAGACTCGGTAATCACTCTTTACGATTCTACCGGGAAGAAACTTGAATTAAAAAAATTCCGAACACTTTTCAAAAATACGGTCATTAATTATAGTTTTTCCGGATTTCCGATTAAACTTGACTTTATTGGCAGAAGAGCGCAAGCGTCATCGCCATCATATTTTTATTATATTAAATATGAAGGGAATAAGGGCAGTGGGCAGGCGGAGTGCCAGAGCTCCGGAGCAGGAGGGAGCTGGTGACATGATAGACCACTTATGTTGAGAGCCAAAAAGCCCCACAGAAAACAATGCTGCGCAGAGCTGCTGCAGCGAGTGCAGCCTTCCCGCTACAGGCTAATGGCGAAACCGAGTACGACGCTGAACTCCCGCTGCACTTATGCACTATGAACCATACTAAATGAACTCTGGGTTAATATACAGAGAATTCAAGAAGAATTTTGAGACCAAGTTCCCAATGAGTCTACCCAGACAAAAATTTTGATGTTATCGGTTGCCAGCGTGATGCTGGATATTAAATCCACTTGTTATATTATCCATTCCAAAAAAGGTTGATTAATTCTTCCTAAATGCATGAAATTCTTTTTAAATTTTAAGATGCAATAAGGGATACTAACACTTCAATGAAAGAAAAACGAAATGTGACCTTTCCATTGTTTGAAAATGCAAACCAATTCCTCCATGCATGCTTACCTTTTCGCAGACAAGCACAGAAATCTACACAAATTTAAAACTTAAATTATAAAAACTGGACAAATTTCGAACTTTCTGGACAAGGAAGAGCGATATTAGCAACAGTAAAAACTCCTCAGTTGACACGGAAGCCTCAAACGCCATGAAAGGAGCGAGATTAGGAGAAAGCTCAGCAGAATCGCCCCAGCACGACAACAACATAACAGAAATCGTACAATTTTCCTCTCAATTTAGCGCACTTATTTTTTTTTGGAGGGCGTTCGAGGGAGGCAAGCGACCAAGCAAAGGACTGTATTAAGCGTGAAAGCTCACAGGATGCTTTTTCCACTATATACATCTTACATTTATAACCAGAGACGTAGCAATCTACGGGATGAAAATATTGTTTAAATCGGTTTATTCGTAGAAAGAACACAAATCGGTTTATACGTAGAAAGAACACAAAACGCCGCAACTGTTCGTTCATCTCCGAAGGCAGCAGTGCAGTCGCTCCGATCCGCTTTATTCTGATAAAACTGTGACAAACGCTAAGAGTTTACTTCCTGAAAACTTGCTATATAATAACACATGCAAAACTAATGCAATGAGATCAAGAGCCATGAAAAACGTGACAGAGAAAAGATAATTAGTCTAACGACCAAACTAAAGTCGTTATTCCATTATAGTACTAACATTAAGAAATATCAAGCAAGGTTGTCACATGTAAACGAATTCGAAATTTCAAGGAATAATTAATTGGAAAACTTTGCAAGGTATACTTGTAAAAATAAAAACACAGCTACATTATATAAAGATATGCATAAAACTTGGTATAAATCCAAATTATTTCTAACTTCTAAGCAAAGACCAAATTGTTTTTAGGCAAGGGTTAAATTATTTCTATGCAAAGGCCAAATTATTTCTACGAAGGTTCTAGTACGCAATTTTAGTTCTCACAGCGTACGAAGCAAGTAGCGGCACACAACCGTGGCAATTTTTATTGGAATTTGGATGTGAACTAAATCTTCGGAAGAGAAGTGATAGCGGGTGGTTCAGGGTAGCGGTTTACACTAAGTTAATTACTACTAACAAATTCAAACAACATCCAACGGTGAATTTTATGATCAACACAGTCAACATACACTCAACACATGAATTTCTGGAAAGCAGTCACTAATCATGCTTCGTTCTCTAAAATTAAAGACGAGATACTCTATATAACATAATTATAATATACTCTATATATATAATACTCATAATTCATTGGTATTTGTTCCGGACGTAGCACTCCAGGCAGTGCCTCACCATACATACAAAATTAAAAAATGTAAGTCCTAACCAACCAAATTAGACAATAAGGAAAGAAGTAGAGGTAAATGATGGAACAAGCCAAATGTATATGAATCGAAAAATTGAAATAATGAACCCCCGACAGTTTCGATTACACGCCAGTTATAGAGTACTGCACAATTATAAGCACGATATTAGGAAGAGAGCGCGAGAGTTGCTAGCAGGAAGCCCTATAAGCCCAAGCCAAGTTCTGTGAGTCTAGGCTAGCGTGCTGCGCCTTAATGAAATCTGTGTGCGCCAAACCAAGACACTAATTGCATGAAATAATACGTAAACCCAGTGATTCTCCGCCATACGCAGTCGGACCAGGTCCTGTACACCAACACGCCAGTCTAACCTCAATGTTCGCCACAAGCGTTATAACAAAAGCTCTTACAGACGCGATGCAACAATGTTTTGATGTCCGCAATTGGGAAAAATAATAATAATAATAATAGTAGTGATAGTAATAATAGTAGCCAGTAGTTATTTCTACAAACTCAAATTCAGAATGCCATAACACGGTATTCCGTAAGGAATGTTTATGAGAAATAGAAACCTATGTACGTATATCTCAAACATAACTCGTTCAGAAAAGTACCAATTTTGATAAATTAAATTCAAATAATGTATTTCAACCAAGAGAACCGGATCAATTAGTCAAAAAAATTAATACCTCTGGACATCTCAAACAGACCTCACTCAAACCTATATAGATTCAATAGCGTTAATTTCGAATTATTTCTTGAAATATCAACCTATATATGACACCCCTGCGGTCTAACTTTAATTGAAGGGCGTGATTAACATGGGCTGAAGAGAAGCCGCGCTCCCTTATAGTGCTGTCACTAATCATTTATTTTTGTCGTCTCGTCCATTAGTGACATTTCGCAGTCTCTTCCACGCAAATGGCGGCATGTAAAAAGGATCAACACGAGAATTATTAATGCGTAGTTCTAACAGAAAGTCTCTAAAAGTCCGTTAGTCAGAATTTGAGATGCAAAAGCTTGATTTTTTCGGATAATATTTAATGAATTTCCACAAAAATTTTTGCAGAGCATTTTTTAGTATGTGATCAATAACATAATCAAACAAGGATCTTAGGCTAGTGTTAAATAGTCGAAATCCCGAATATTGCAGATTCTGGAATATATTAAATAACATCTCAAGTTATAAAAATGGCCTCGGTAACAAATTATTTTTAAAATGCAGTAACATTTTGACATCTTGAACCATTCAGGTTTTCAGCGTTTAAACAAAATTATTAAATATGTTTTAGAATACGTACGGTAATGAATAACTGCATCAGTTTACTTCTGTCACTCTACAGATCAACTTTAACTTATAATTAACGCTTGATGCATGGATAGTTTTTCGTCATGCACAAATCCATTCAAAATCTGTCCAAGGTAAGAAATTTGATCCAACATTGAAATTGACGTTTATATGAAAAATACGAAAAACCTTCCACAATAGGAAGAGCACGCTAACTACTTGAGCATAATTACAAGATGAATCCACAATCACGAAAATTTGAATTTCATTCAAGAAAATGATTTATTGGGGCCATTCGAGAGATGCTCGACCTCTTACCAAAAAAATATCAAGGACTACAATAATATGCAAGAAATCTTCATCAAATTTATCGCTCCTGGCGCCAGAAGACGGAAGGCACAGACCCAAAAAAACGATCACACATCAGTTGCTCCGCACAAAAGCAAGAACAGAACAAGTGTGCCATCGACAAACACTGAATGCGAATGAAAAGAAGAGGTCGATCATGAGTGAAGGATGGCTAAAGCTGCTTCCTAAGATATGGCACTGAAGAGGAAGGAAGAGAACATAAAGTGACACACGCCCTTACTATTCATAAGCCCTCAGAGTCATGGAGTTCCGAGAGGAACAACCTAACACCGTACTCGATTTAGTGTTTCCGTAAGCCATCATAACATATCAGCCCCCGGTGACAATCGCTCGTTGATCTTTTGGTGCACTCAAAGCTATTCCAAAGCCTCCGAAAAACATCTATTTCATCTTCGATGTAAAAGAGACACGAGACGAAGCAGAAATCTAAATGCAAGATGCCACACAATTTGCACCTAGTACAGTGGTCCACGGAAATCGACCGTTTGGTAAGTTGGTAACTCGACACAATCAGAAGTCGACATGACCTAATATAGCAAGATCATAGCGTCATTAAAGCCTTACATACTAGGTGTGGGTTACGAGATGTTTCAATATTCATAGTTCCGCGTATACTTGCTGGTCCAGAAGCTAATATAACTTTGTTGTGACCTATCACTGTAAACTCCACCATCCAAGAAAATTTTGAGAAAAGAGTAGGCAGAAATGCTATCATAATCATGTTTGCCATTTTTATCCGATTGTGACTGGATAGTTTACAGCACTATTTTTGACGACCATACAGGTTCGATATAAGGACCGCTACGAAAAGTATGTATATTACATCAAATAACTGTTTTTTAAAAGTTGTTAATAAAAAACA